GTTTTCCCTCTGTAATAATAGTGATAACAGTAAGGTCTAGACCTTACTTTGTAAAGTGTCCTGAGATGACTTTTGTTGTGATTTGGCGCTATACAAATAAAATTTTATTTGATTTGATTTGACTTTTGTGATACAATGATGAATGATGATTTAATGGATTGTTCACTGCTTTCCTTTCATTGTAGATATGGGGTCACATATTTTTGGTGATCTGACTGGAGAATGGGATCAACATTTGGGCTAAAATAGCATCATGTTGTTTCCTCATTGCTCCATGACTAGATTTGTTGTTCACTTCTGCCTGTCAACATACCAGGAGCAAAATATGTCAATGTGATGATCATGCACATTCTACCTGATCATTTTGCCTTACAACAGCTATTAAAACTACACATTGCTGTTATGAGAGGAAAATAAATCAGGGTTCAATGTCAAAAATTGAGCTTTGGACCTACTGGGACCAATCAGCCTAGTTGATTTGGCAAGGCTTGAGAATACTGGGATGCATGTCAGTAGCCTGTCTTGATGCTAAATTCACCAGATCTCCAGTCTGCATGTAAGTTAAAACACACTCTCTTGACATATGTTAATCAGTGCGACAGAAAATAAGATATTCTTGCATGCTAGCATGATTAATTAATTATAAAAATGCATTTATAATGCAGTTCAGACAGTTATGTGAGTATTGCACTGCCCATGCAAACACTGACACCCAAAATGTAAATGCCATGTTATATAAAATTGCAGATACTAGATTGTTTTAAAACAATTAAGCTATCAGTTTAATTATTTAACGGTATCATGCAAAGGCATATTTAAAAATTCCCTACCTTTAAAATTGACTAATAAACACATCATATTTCATGTTGTTTATGGGGGTTTGTTTAGCCTTGGCTGGTTGCCAGCCGTGTCAACAGGATGACAAGATGCCAAGGAAATCACTATACAGTAGGTACTGGGTGGTGGACTCAGACAGAGACAGGCTAGTTGTTTCTTTATGCTATGCTAAGCTAACCATCTCCTGGCTGTAGCTTTATGTTTAACAGACATCCAATGGTATCAATATTTTCACTTATGTAAACACACTGTTCCTTAAATATGCTGCTGCAACAACCCCCACTCTCTTGGGAAGTCTTTCCACAGAAAATTTAGAAACATCATTAGTGTGCCTTTCCTTGAACTGTGGCAAAGTTGTTCACATTTACAGTAAATGTGGCAGCAAGAGTAAATGCTAGGAAGTCTGGAAGTTATGGACTTGTTGATGGTATGATAATAAGGATGACTGTATTATGGTAAATAGCTGATCAAAATCTAAAAGAAAGAGGAGAAACATATTTATTATTCACAAAAGTCTGAAAGTCCTACCTTTTCAATATGTAAATAAGTAGCCGTACTTCACTAGTATAGGCAGGATTATTATGGGGAGTTGTGCTATCAGTCCTTTATTGCTTTGTTTGCTGGAGAGGATTTTTATTAGCATTTGAATTTGGTAAAACATCAGTACAGTGCACATAAACTCTGCTGTCGTTCAGTTGTAAATGTTTTATATCAAAGGCTTTTCTAGTTTCCTTCCCTCTGGTTTAACCCTGTGGTTTTCCCCCACTGTGCTCATTTCATAGTAGTCACCCTGAGAGGACAATCTTTTCTCATACATGTGTCACGCTGTATCTATTTAGTTGGCCTTGTAAATGTCATAATAATGTGTCCACTGTGTACTGTGGAATGCCTGGCACGCAGGCCCTCCCATCTCCTTAAGCCGTCTTCTCCTGTGAATGGGCTTCTTCAGCCTGCCTGAGGTAACTCTGCTCTGTGGGGAGACACAGCAAGAGAGATGCCATAATAGTTAACTTTCACCAATGGAACTACATCAAGTGCCCCTTTCTTCTTCTCCCATGAAAATCCAGTCCCTGTGTGACAGTACTGACAATGGTGTTGAGGGCAGCATTGAAGCACTGGCTCATCTTTTTCCCACCTTCTCATCACTGAACTTTGCCCAGTGTAATGTGTGTCTGTAGGTGTGTGCACATACTGTATGTATATGTATGTAGGAGAAGCATTGTCATGGGACCAGTGAGAATAAGGAGGTGAAAGGCACACATAGACACATATTATGAACC